CCTTCGAGGCCGGCCCGCGAGACGCGGCCCGCTCTCCCGGAAATCAGGCTGGAAAACCCGACGATCGATCGCCGTTAATGTCCCGACGCGATGGACCGTTTTCTCGGGCAATTTCTTCGCGACGATTGTACACCGACGCACCGTTCGAGTCAACTTCGTCGAGGGGAAAATGGGGTTAGATTCGATTTATCTTGCGTTCTCCGGTGATGAGAGTACGCAAACGCGTGTGTACGTTAATATGGATTTTGTTTCTTTCTTTAATCCTCTGCGGACGAGAATTTTTTAGCTTTTACGTTGAGAGTCCTTGAAAACACTGGAAATGCATCGAAGAAAATCAGAAGAGAAAACTGGGAAAGAGAACCACGTAGCGGTCTCTCGTTTGAATAATGAAGTGATTTACTTGCAGCTTTCGATGTCAGATATGGAAGCTCGAAGTCGCCATTAGGGCGGCATTCGACCGCAAAGGGTTAATGTCGCAAACTCGATAGTATTTTAATTCGCGGGTTGCAACAATTGCGAGAATGATTGAACAGTGCACGGTGGTCGATTGTCCGACGAAAGTTCCGCGCGTTCACCTATCGCGAGACGTTCGAATTTTTCACCGAATAACACGTTACCCGAGCATCAGACCGCTGCGACCGATCGTACGTCGGGGATATTAAAGCGATCGATCGAACGCTTCTATTCTTAGCCTCGAAGACGCACAGTTTTAATTGACCGACGTGAATCGATGCAAAATTATTCGATGTTTCTCGCGTACCGAGGGGTATTAGCGTCTAATTGATAGACGGTCGCGCGCGCTCGAGGCCAAGAACTCTGTCGAGCAAAGCTTCCGGGAAACGCTAGGAGCTTCTCGAAGACGTTGCTCGTGCCGGAGAAACTAGATTCTAAGCGTTCCTTGAATTTAGACGGGAATTCAGAGTGGAAGGGGGTCCGATCGATCCAGGAACCTGGCTGAAACGAATCAGTTGCAATCAGTTTTACTTGGAAAGCTCAAAAACCGATGGACAAAGCGTCAGTTGTCAGGTTCACGGATAGAGGATCGCTCAGCAGAAAGACACAGAGTGAAACATCTGAATTCAAGTGAAAACTCGCGGCTGCGCGTCGCTCGGAATTGACATTTCAAACTTACGTTCCATTGTGATTTCGTTTTCGCGTGCTCCGACCTATCGCCGATTGCAACGGACGCGAGGCGAAGAATGTTCTCTGAAAATGAAGGATTCCAAGGATCAAACGAGCGGCGCGCAACTGCATCTGAAATCAATAACGAAATCACTGGACGCCGATCGACGGACGCGTGATTCCGATCCCGTAGTCCGTTATTTCGACGGAAATTCGAGGGAAAATGAGAGAATCGAGGATATAAATCAGGAATCGTGAGTCCGTCGACGGCGATCCTGATCACGAGATCCGCGTATTCGCCGGCGATATGGAATTGGCATTAGTCGATTTTCTCGGCGGAGACCAGCAGCTGGTCCTTATGATCATTTTCCTTTCTCTCTAACGAAAAATCGTTCGCTATCATCGGGAACGTCCAGTTCCACGGACAAGTTTCCCCGCGGCGCGGTCCCGTTTCCCGTTGGGATCGCTTCGTGATTGCGTTTCGACGGGGACGAGACGCGTCGTTTCAAACTTTCGAGAACACGGTTCCGCGTCGTCGAAGGATCGTCGATGGAAATGCGATCGGTTCCCGATGAACAGCGAACGACACGTGGCATACGCGGATCTCGGCGCTGATCTGAAGTAAAGTTGGATGGTCTGGGAGACAATGGTTTTTAATGTTTGTGCTTTTGAATTCGACAGGTGAACAACGCGACGGCGAGGGTGCAGACGAAAAAACCACCGACGGTACCCAACGGTAGGTAGCAATTTCTTTTGCACTTTATTTGTCGGTTGCTATGAGATAAGCGATTAAGATGTTAACGATGAGCAATGGATGATAAACAGGATCGCATAATATGGGAATATCGAGACCCACGGAATTTTAAAATATTAATATTTATAATATCGGGACATTAATATTTACATTATTATATTTACATGTCAACGTTATAATATTGCGCAGGAAACTATCATTTAACTAGGCACTAACTGAACACCGCAGGCAAGCAATGAATATCTGAACCTCTCTTTGCAATTCTCATTAGATACTGCCATTAGAATCCACAGCCACTCGTCGAAAAACTATTCTTTCGATTTCTAAACGATCGTTTCTCCGTTTTCAAACTTCTACGAGGTTTCGGTACAAATGACCGTGTGCGCAGACCATCAGGCGCGTTTCGTCGGCGTAGAATCCATGGGAATATCGCCGGGGCCCCGAGTCTAATCCGATCGTCCGAGCAATTGGCTTTAATCTAAATCTAATCACGATTCCGTTGTGCGACCCCATTCGAATCGTGACTTAATCCGGATTAGCGGATCGGCCAGTTGCGACTCCCCTCGTTCTCGAGCAACGATCGCTACACTTCGACCGAAAACGACCGAGACATCGTCGTCGTCGTCGTCGTCGTCGTCGTCGTGACGGTTTCTCACGAGCTGAAAACACGCCGAGGGAGAAACAATTCTCATCGAAAACAAATCGGGATTCTGCTTGATTATACCCGGGACTCAGCCGGCGCCGTTCCGTTTAATTACGAAGTGACGCGAACTCGCCGAAAATTACAAACGCGACGCGTTTGCCTCGAAACTCGTCTTGTATTCAGTGGTTTCGTCTGGAGTTCTAACGAGATTCACGTGGCTTGCGTTCGATCACTGTAAATCCTCGTGCATATTCAAATGTCTGTAAACCACAATTGTAATGAGAAATGACTGTTCCTAGCAAATATCATAAAAAGTACATTCTGGATATTTTATACATTTCGAAAAAATACATTAAAATTTCTTATAGAACTTTTGAAAGACTCGAGTAAGTTCTATGAATTATTAAATTTAAATAGAGTATATTTGTAACGCTTTAAGATAATTGAAGGAATAGCTGATCTTTATTCCAAACGAAAATCGACGAAGGTGGAATCGCTGCAGAACGATAGCTCCATTTACAAACCGATCAAAATTCAAAACAGTGACGCGAAGTAATGACACAGTTTTACATATTGAATATACTATCGCAACGTTTATAACCATGCTTATTTCCAACGCGACATTCGTTTAAAAATTGCTTATTTGGAACCGTGCCCCATATTCGTCGCTATATTAAAAAGCACTCCGAGCCGAACGGCGTGGATTATTCGAACGATCCACCGAGGGATACCAGCGTTGACCCAGAAAAATACCGATCGGCGCGCGAATACTTTTCCCGGTTGTCCAAAAATGACAAGGTCCCGCGTCGACGCGATAGGGGACAAGGTAACGCTCGCGACAATTGAATATTTCATGGGTCCACGCGGAAATACAGCTATCAGGGATTTAGTCGCGGAGGTTCTACCCGATGTCGGCCAGAGACAGTAGATATTTCAAGCTCTCCGCTCGAACCATTTCCATGCGGTTCGACAGCGAGTCCTCATCGATCCGCCGCGACTTTTCAATTCGAGCACGAGTTCGCGAGGAGGGAGGGTAGCGAGTTATAAATAATCGCCACTCGAACAACAATGACGATCGGCCCAGCTTGCCAAGTGTTTCCCAAGCGTCGGACCGTTCGAATAACCTGGATCAGGTCGACGAAAGCGTTTCTAATTATAAGCGAATCCGTTAGCCCGTAATCGGACACTTAATTGACGGCGTCCGACGCCGGGACGAACGGGTTCCAGCCGTGCGTTCCGCGGTTTCTCGTCGCGGGAACGTCGACCGACGGCTCTGGGGTAACGGCCTGAAACTGTTCCCAGAACTTGCGTCTCGGTTGGTTCGCTTGGCGAGTCTGCGAATAGGTACGGAAAGATGTTGGCAGCGACAGGATAATTGGATAATGGAAGTGGAAGTATGTGATAAAGAAAAAGAGGCAGTGGTGAGAGGATAAAGAGAGGAATGGTATCTGGAGGGAAATAGGATTTGAGTAGATAGATAGAGCAGGAGAAGAGACAGACGAGTGAGAATGTGACTGAGGAATTGTAGAAGTGAAGGAGATATACCTTGTAGAATGCGAGACATTGGTGAAGTTACAAATGGATCAGTGGGAGGTGTCGTTGGACACCACTAGAATGAGCAAGGTTCGATTCTCAGTGGGACTAAAAACGGTTTTTTCCATTAAATTATTTAGTAGTGTTGAACTCTGCAATATTTGAGTAATTTAGAATATAAATTTAATGGCTGTTGTTTTAAATAGATTAAATTTATACAATTTCTAATTACTGATAGTTATAGTTAAAATTAATAATAAAAGTACACTTATATGGAAAGAAAAAGTCAGTCGATCATCCCTAAGGAGTTTTCTAGTGACAAAAAAGGTTCAATTATTCTGAATAAAATTAGTGATCGTAGAAAGATTTTCACTAGGAAATAATCAAAAGAGCTTTTTTCTCCAAGCTCGAAAATTACTATTAGCTTTATTAGCTTTTCCTATAGAAATCATCACAAAGTTAGTTGTCCTTAAAGGCAATGAAAAATTAATAGAATCAGGGAGATTATAGAAAGTGAAGTATGTGTTTAATAATTTACTGCTCACAGCATCAACGCCTAAAGAGCTTGAGAGAAATAGATTCTATGAGAAAAACTATTCTAGAAACGCGCGCAAGTAGGGGTTTAACAGCGAAAGTGGTGTGTGATGATAATCATCAGAAAGTTTGTGCTTTTAAAGATAGAAAGCGTAGAATCGCAAGCGGATATTGGATGATGTTGTGTTTGTTACCTCTCCAAGAATAAGGGAAAAAGTATAGAAACGGAAAATCGGGGAGGGTCATCGAAGCTTTTAAAAGTAAAAAGGTGTGTAGAATCACAAGAAAAAAGCACTCTTGAAAAGTGTTCCCTAGGGATTTCAGAGAAAGGCAGAATTAGCAGGAAAAAAAGCAGCCCTCCCCTAGAACTGCCAATTAGAATTGAAATAGAATTCTACAGAAAAGCTCCAGGACTCCCCCTGAGGAGCTCCTCTGAATGTGGAATTAGCGAAAAGCAGTAGTAGTCAACCTTGCAGAAGGTTAATAGGCGGGATTAAAATTAAAGACGAGGAAAACGAGAGACGAGAGGAAGGGATATGGCGAACTGAGATTGGATCCAAGGACAGAAATTGGCTACTTAACGTAATCAAATCCTATTCGGTATCCATCGGAATCATCCGAACGATTCCATGGTTCGACCGCATCCTAGCGAAGAGGCTGGGCGCGGCCAAACTAAATCGATTGCCACCAATTCCTTGCCGACCACATTAGTCGGTGAAATTCGCTCCTAACATTCGGATCGGGCGCAATTATCCGCGAGCCGTGGAGGCCGGTGCGTTCGGCCACACGCGGCGAGATTAAGGCCGATTCAGCCCGTTTGCCGCGCACCCGGTATGCGATGCAAGGCTAACACCTCTTAATCGTCGGTTCGACAGGCATTTCCCACAGGTCCGCTGCGTCAATGTCGCCGCGATCGCGGCCGCGATTCGAATTCCATCGGCTTAAACGCGTTACCTTAAAGGGTATCGAGCGATCCGAACAGGTGAGACACGATTAACCCTTCGCTATACGATATGTCGTTGAACTCCCGACTAAGATCTCAAACAGAAGTTGAAAATAAATGTCACTCGATCCTTTCGAGCACAAAGTACATATTATTTCTCTGTTGTCAGCTTTTATGCTTCACAGTTCATTGCGTTGATTTAACAGATATAGATGTTATTATGTCTATCAATCCATTGATAACAAAAGAATTTCAACGAGCGCAGTTGTAAAGGAAGTCATAGGGTAAAAGTTAATAATCACGATTCCCAATCCCGTCTCACCTGGTCGCCATAAAATTCCACCGTAGATATTTTATCACTTCGCAATGCTGCAGGAAACTGCCATAACCATCCCATAACGCTGAAATTTCACGACTCCTGCCCTCCATTCAGTCCATTTTGCCTGTATCGATCACCAGATAATTTCGACGGAACGAAATCTCTGCCCTCGTTCGCAATTTATTGCCCGCGATATTGGACGAGTCGAACCACTAGGAAATTCAACAAAATAGTATCTTCTTAAACGCATATCAGTGACCGATCCAATATTATCCTATCATAGAAACTTGTGTTAATTAACGAAACAACGGTAACAACTTCGGATGATCAAGCATTAAGTGAATTATCCCTTGTCTTCCGCGAGCCACCTTCAACGAATGGAAAATAACGAAGTACATATTCGCAAATTTTCTCGTAGCGCGCGCTGTAAAAGCGTTAGTCTGCTAATTAGACGCAGCAAATGGAACGATCCTCGAGCAAATTGAATTGTCGAAGGGGGACGTCGAAGGGGGGACTCTCGTAAAAGTGATTTTCGTACGTTCCACGACGAATCCCGGACGAAAACGCGCGATCGTTCCCCTCGTCCCTCATCCGGCCGTCTGCACTGCCTCTCCCTTTGTTCGCCGCGGAGCAGGGACAAAGCGATAAGGGACGACAGAGTGAATATTCAAGCAACTCCGGTGTATCGCGGCGCGCTACTGCGTCGCCGTGCCGCCCGCCTCTGAAAGAGCTTCTCCCGGGTCTTGAAAATTTCACCCGCCGACCATTTTTCACGCGTATCGACGCGGGTCTGTTGTCGATGCATCATCGACGGGGGACGAGCGTCAGCGGGTCTCTAGAATGCGTCGTCGCCTCCCGCCGGTTCTCGAGAATTTTCCGTCGGACCCGCTCGCGACGAAAGATTTTCCTGGACGGAGAGATCTTCCCGTCACTCGAGAGATTCGAGCGGTGCATAGATATACGTGCAGGCGTCTTTGAAATTGTCCTCGATGCGGTGAGGGATCATCGAT